AAAGATTAAGAGATATTTTTAAATTCTTCGGACTCTAGAATAATTTTGCTTTTTCATGTTCAAAAAAACCACACTTTAATTCTTGGAACTTTGGAAAACATAAAAAGGTGTTTTTTATCCGTACTTAAGAAATGATACCTCTTTTATGATTTCACACAGTACAGTATTGATAAACAATAAAGGTATTGTATCAACCATAACGAATTCATGATAAACGCATCGCTGAAAGCTACTTTATTTAGCCACTTTCAGTTTTCTTTCATCGTTTAGAATTCGCTATGCTTATGAATCATTAGAAGTGAACATATGTCTACGGTAAAGATCATACAAAATAATGGCTAGAATACATACACAAACAAATCAGACGAAAACGACTTATCGAAATGTGAACAGTTATCAAAGGAAAATAAGTTTGCTAGTTTGGAAAAAAAAACTTATTTGTGTGGAGATGGAGGACAATGTAACTCTAAAAGTGAAGAAAGATATTGTTTTGGAAAAAATTTTAAGTGAAAAGCTATACATGGTACATTCTGTTCACTACTCAACATTAGTAAGCTAGAAGTTCAATGTTATATGAGTAGTGTAACACATTTTAAAAAAATATCTCTTACCCGTGTCCTAAGTGAGAATTTATCAATGTCAACTGCTCATACTACTCAATCAATTATGATAAGTTAGATCATCATCATGATATGATTCTTTTATTAATGGAATTATAACAATGTTAATCAGTTGAGATTTTTTTCTAGTCTTCAAAAATTTCAAAACTTTAAGTCGATCATCATGTTAAAGCTTTGATACCATTCAGAGGGAAATTACCTGTTCATCACTTTTAAGCATGATCGTTCTTCATATACTATTTTCCGGACTCAACACACCAAGTCTTCTATATTATTCTAATTATTCTTAGTTTTTAGAATAATTTCGACAATTACACTCTATGATAAATCATAATAATTTGTTCAGAACTACAATAAAATGTATTGGAATACAGATGTCAGGCAGTGAATTTTATTCCCTAACTTGTATTTCAACGTGGTAATGAATATTTTATTTTTGCTTAGTGTAAGCTTCCACATATCTTGTTGAAAAATAATATATCATCACCATCACCTAAATGAACTAATTGTACAAAGCAAATGTATCATCTTTTTTGGATCCTCTTACAAACTTCACACCGATTAGAACGAAGCAAATGAATTCAACATCGATATTTCCCTCTATTTGTTTGCATTCTTCGTCTATTATATCATGCTAATAATCCCCTCGATGTGATCTGTTACTTTCCCATCTATAAACGAACCAATGAAGTTTTGTGTGGTTGTATCTGCTTATCATTCGAAAATTAGCACAATTTTCAGGTAGATTTTGAAATTATATTTACTTTTGACGTTGTTTGGTGGTGAATTAACCAGATCAGTGGGAAGAACATTGCAGACTAGTACAAGCATTTGTCAGACGGTGCAACGTTGACCCCCTATGGAAGTAATTCTCTGATAAAACAGGGTAACTGCCGATTGACGTTTAATGACAAGGTCAACTACCAATATTTATACTGAAGCACAAGTTTCATTAATTATAAGGGATTCCTGAGATATGTGGTTAAATTAGTATTACAGTTAAAGATATCTCTCTTCACTATAAGAGGTTTAATGACAATCAATAACTGATATATTAATGAAGGATTACAGTAATAACTAATTAAGTAAGACCGGTTTTTGAAAGCTGCTTAGCAGTCCAATCAATCGATATTCAAACACTGGGTCACATGTTCGAAGCTAACTTAAATTGATTTGAAAAGGAAAATGGTTGTACGAAACATATATCGCGATGTTTTAAAGCTACTAATTGGCTAACAATTTATGATGTTATAAAAATTGGAACTATACACATCATTCTCGTAATGTTTAGTGTGTGAACTAGAAGTCTTATGTCTTTCAACCACATATGTTTTCAGTGAGTTTTAATCATCCCAACTATTTGGTACAACAGTGTCATTTTGTCATAAAATACGACAGTAATTTTGGGTATCTGACCTCGAGAGACTGTGTTAATATTCGAGATTTGAATGATAAGCATTACTCGGCTATATTTCGTTTTGATTCATGTAATCATCCCAATATCCGCACATAAAAACACATTTTCAACTGTTATCAAAAGGTGGCAACAATGTTCACCTACAAGAAAATATTTTTGTCTAATGACTCTTTATCATGAATAAACAATAATCACTATTCATGTGGACCAGTGGTTTAGGGGTTGAAGAAGTTATATTTGAACTGGCAAATTACTGACTCAGAGTAACACCAATCTAAATCTGTTTGAGCATAAGAATAGTATAATACAAAAAAAAACTCCATAACATGTACTTGAATAATGCGTTACATAATTATTTATGTTAACAATAGTAGCAAGATTGTCGAGCTGAATTTTAAAAGTAAAAGATTGTGTTGAGTAGTAGTACTACATAAAATCCTAGTTAAAACAAAGCTTAGTAAGTTGATGAATTATATATATATATATATATATATATATATATCTTCAAAGATAAACTAATCAAGATTTCAAAGCCACCCACAGAAGAAAACGCAAACAATTGTGTGGTCAACCTGTCGAAACAAAATCTAACGACAACAGAATAACACCTCCTCCAAAAAGGATTAAACTAATACTCAAGTAACACATCAAAACTACAATTCTTCGCCACACTCAAGTCATCACTCAAAACGGCCGAAATAAATGAAGAAACTCAACAAGAAATACGACAAACCATAGTACCATTAACTCGAAGGAAGAGGAACAGTAACCAACTAACAGCACAACAATGAAAAGACTTAAAGAAACTCAGAACTACAAAAGATATTGTCATAGTTAAGGCGGACAAAGAAAGCACTACAGTAATTATGGACAGGGAACAATACGTCAGGAAAGCCGAGGAACTACTTCAGGACAGAAGCGTATATAAACCAATGAACACAAATCCAATAAAGGTTAGAAAGCCAAATCTCAAGAACTAAACAGGCTTGTCAAAGCAGGGCAAATATTAAAACAACATCAATGGAGAATGAGACCAAATGGACTAGTTATCCCATGATACTACGGTAAGTCGAAACTACACAAACCCAACATTCCACTACTTCCAATTGTATCCCTCTCTGGAACCCAAACACAACTTATCAAGAGAAATTTCAAGGATATTGCAACATTTGGTAGATTCATTCAATTACTCCATTAAGTTTTCCATAAAACTCTTGTATAAACTCCAGGAGATTCAAATCAACAACGACGAATTGATTGTATCCTTCGGCATAACAGCCTTATTCACCTTAATATAATCGTAACTAAGCCTGCCTGCTCCTCAACAACGACACAAATCTCACAAAAGTATATAAAACTTCAGAGTCAAATTCCCCTAGAACTCATCGATTTATACTTTAACAACGTACTTCCAATTCAACAACAAAATCTACGGACAAACGAAAGGAAGACCAATGGGATTATCAATATCAGAACTCATCGCAGAAGCCGTGGTGTAGAGACTAAAAGCATCAATTTTACCAGTGATCAAGCCTCTGCAGCTACATCTGCGTTTACATCAAATCGATGTAAAACATCATAACATTTCTTCCCTTATATTCATACATGCGGACAACTGTAGACATACATTTGATTGAAGCAAATGTTGAAATACTGGACAGAGGGAATACAAAGAACACACCGACAATGACGAAGTTTATCAACCAATCAGAAAAATCCTAGTCCATCATAGGATCAAGAAACAGATCAAAGGGGGATAAAATCAAAATATAAAGGTGCAGACAACGACAGGTTTAAGGTCAATTACAACCAATCAAGATCGAGGTTAACAGAACAAGCTACGGGTTATATATACACGGAGAAACTAGAATACTTCTTTTCTATCCGAATTTTGTGTTGATGGTGTTGATCAGCAGAACAATGAAAGCTCAACAACCAAAACATCCAGCTCAAAGAACGGAACTTCATTGATCTTTCAATATTACTGACTAATAAAGAGTTGAAAAGCAGTTCTTAGAAAACAATGTTATAGCGACAGATAGGGTTATTACTATGTTTTCTCTTAAGATGAATTTCATGAGAGAATTTATTATACTTTCTATACTATTCATGTAACGAATCTTCAGTGTGAATACACACTTTTCCATCAATGTGTCAGAATCATGAAGGTTAGGGTTTTTCTTTTCACTCCACTTAATGGTCCAAAGCTAAAAGTTGATTAATTCTTTTTTTTTCGTAAATAGAAAGACTATCAAAGTACATAGTTTCAACTCATTCTCCAAATTATCATTAGTTTTTTCTTTGTATTAGTGGATTAATGCGACAAGAATAAGGGAGGTGGTTTGAACTATGAGGAAAATAAGATGCATAATACACCTCTATTCAGTTTTATTACACCAAATGCTGTGAATGATTAGTTTTGAAAAGAAATGAATAGGAGAATTATTGAATTTCAATGAATGAATAAATAAATAGTAACTTGTAAAACAAACAGTTAACAGATCAGTACGCATCACATGTTTGCCTACTTTAGCATTTATTTAAAAACTTGTTTAAAGCCCATTTATCTTCATGAAGTGATTATTCATTAGTAATATACATACATTCATATTATGAAAAAATCACTAATCCTGTAGAATTTAGTGCTGGAAGAAGTGGTCATTAATTGACAGACATCATGTAAAGAGATCACAATCACCAGTTTGAACACTATGTCTAGTAAATTCTTAGGAAATGTTTCATCGGAATCAGATCACATATCGTGAATAAGTGAATCCACCACGAATAATTTACTGATATATTTTATTTTAATAATGGTTTGCATCAATGATTAGTAATCTATTTATCTAAGTAGATTGTTAATGTAAAATGTAGGTAAATTATTTTCTATGTTTATCGATTTTTCAACTAATCTATCTTTAAATAGACAATTTAAAATAGTGAAAAATATATTGATGATTTACCATGAGTGATTTTTCTTTTACTAAAATATGTCCTTTTTCTATTGCTTCACTGATTGGATAGATTTGGTTATGAACAGGATCTCGAAAAGTACCAGTTTCCATGTCTAGTAGATGACGACGAATTGCTTCTGATTGTGTAACTTTACGTCTACTAATTGGATCTATAACAGCTAATATATCATCAGATCGGCAACAATGTGTAAGCCATGAACCATTAAGTGTTTTATTTACTAAATTATTATTATCGTTATTATGTAAACCGGGACCAAGCCATGCTAAACGTGTTATGAAACGTTGATTGATTAAATAAGCCGATGAGGGACGATTGATAGATAAGCCTAATATAAGTTGAGCACCAACCGGTGATAGATCAATATTTTTTATTGTCTTCATATTTGGCGATAACATCATAGATGCGCCAGTAATAGGATCTATTATCTGTCCATATATTATAGCTGAATCATTTTGACAATCTTCACATGGTTTTAACCAACCAGAGTTAAGTGCATCCAAACCAGTTAGCTCACGACCATCTGTATTAAATAATCCACATCCTTGAGTTAATAATTGTATCGAATGTAAGTCACACAATGCTGAATGCTTAGCTGATTTTCTTAAAGAGATACGTTGTTGTGAAGAACTTGTACTATGTTGACGTATGCCTGTGCTAGAAAGAACAATCTCCTCTTTCGATGAATCAATTAGACCTGTACGAATAGCTTCTAATACAGGATGTTGATGATGTGTCTGATTAGATTCATTAACATCAAACAACAAACCAACCGGCGGTGGATAAGATTTAGTATATACAAGTCGAATGTAATTATTGTTAACTGCATCCCACAAATTCATAGGAGGTTTATTATCTAAAGTTATAAATCCTGATGGTGTGATTAAGTTTTTATTCAGAGCTTCGATTAAAGTCAATACTTGATTAGGATCGGATTGCATAAGAATTATAGCTGGTTGATTTCCAATTATCATTCCACGTTTAATTGCTTCTGGAAACAATACATATTGACCAGTGTGAGCATCGAGAATACCCATATTGTTTTTATGGTGTTTTTCGCTCATATTCGGAGTACTGAAAGATATCAGACCAGACAAAATAATTTCAGCTAAACAAGGAGCTTTAGTTAATAAACCTGCAGCTTGAGCTACTTCCATACCGACCTTTATTCGGCTGGAAGGTGAACCTGATCCAAGCCAATAACCAGATACATCATCAACAAGACCCATTTGAATTGCTTCAGCAAGACTGACACGTCGGTAAGAGGTAGCATGATAACCACCCTGCTGATTTTCAACAGGGACAATCACTTCTGGAACGGTATTATCCAGAAGTCCAGTTTTAATTGCATCTCTGATTGTTAACTCGTTTTCAGTAAATACTAACGAATTATTTGACAGTTTATTTTTGCTATTACTTTTCCCAGACTTCAGTAAACCAACACGTAGACGTCGCGTATTTGGATTGTAAGCACCAGAAGCTAACCAATCAGATAGACAGGGTTTCCAACAGATAGCTGTTTCATCAGTATTTAAGGCTTCGTACCACGTCAAATAACAATCTCGAAATTCTACGTATATTCCACTAGACAGAATAGCAGCTAAGTGATGAAAATCTGTTTCATTTATGAATCCGTCCGTGTATAAATCAATAACTTTTTTGCCATATGGCATGACTACACCAGTCTTTGGATCGATATAACGATTGATAGGGTTACGTGATGGACTAGTCAGAAATTCTGTTACAGACGCACTATAATCACCAACTTTTATATTTCTGTTTAAAGCCTGGATAGTGTAAGCAGTTAACCAGCCACGTTCAATGGCATCAGACCAGGAGATGGAGAGTGAACTTCGATTTTGATGACAATTACGTCCAACTAAATCAATTAATCCACATCGTAGTGCATCTCCTATGCAAATGGTTTCACCAAGTCCATATGTTTCATTCTCACCAGCTAGATTAGTAACAAACCATGCACCTGTAGTTGGAAAAATTTTCGGTCCATATAAATCATGTACTTTGGATATTGTAGTCAATGTAGCTGCTTCCCAACCTGTTGGCAGTAAACATATCGGTTGACTTTGGACACCACTAAGATATACACAATATTTGGATCCTTTTTCCCCAATTAGCCGATCAAAGAATGATAGATCTGAATGATTTTTATCGATTGAATTATTCGTAGCATTTAATGTTGATGTATGATCTTTTCTATTTTCTTGATACTTCGATTGTGACACTACAGGAGAAAAGGACGGTTGCGTTTCATTTAAACGATTGTTTAACTCATTTGGCCATTTGCCTGTGTATAGTTCACGATATGGCTTTATAAAAATTGGGCTAGATAAATTCATAGATATAGGTTCTTCAGATCGCAGAAGCTGGTGGAAAAAATAATTTGAAAAAAAGAAAGAATTAATTTAAAGGAAAGGTATGCTTAACAGTTATGATTGATGGACTTGAATTATTTATCGTATGGATTTTTGCAAGTATCTCAACTCTCCCTGTCTATGTGTGGAAACATTTTTGTTATTTGAATACACAAAATGCCATACAGAGATTATTTTAGTATGATAGAAATATACAGTTTGAGGCATTCAGGTAAGAGATATTTAAAAAGATTTCACAAAAACTGAATCAATATTTTTGAAGGACCCCTAAATCCGAACAAATTTAATTCAGTAATGCGAGTTGGTATATTTGGTTTTCACCTATACTATTTGTATATAGAGGCTAGTGGAACTACTCTACTGTTTAAGCAGAATTATATGAAGTGGGATTTGAACTTAGTGGACTTGTTGGCTAGAGGATGAGTGGTTTATGTACTAAAATATGCAGTTACGTTTAATCTGTTAGATAGGGTAGCAACAACAAGATGGCAATCAAAAACAGGATACCTCAGAATACTTGATTATTCGGTTTTTGTTCGCTCATTTCCGTGATATACAATGTGGTAATGAGTTGGTACATATTCATAGCAGGTTCTGTATAACGCAGTCAATGACAAACTAGTGAAATCATAAATATGATTCGGGATTCGGGTAAGTTTTGAAGGAGTCTATAGAAGTCTGGAAATGCCCGGAAACGTTTTATACAGTCAACGTTGAGATAATCATTGATACTCAAATGATAGGAAATTCCAAAGAACAAAGGAAAGTTTGGATAGGGAAAACACCGAAAAAGTTGGAACACTTCCGCGAACCAAAAGTCAAGCTTTAAGTAAATCCAAAGAAGAGGTCCCATTTTTCAAAAGTAGGAAGGTGTTGGGCAGTATCGAAATATCCTTCTGAAAAGTTCAAAGATGCCAGGAAGTGCTTTATCCAATCTGCACTGAAAAAGAACCTCCGCAGGGACATCTGGAAAATACAGAACCACATACCAAGGGCTCTAAATGGATAGTCAGCCACATTCCTACTATATTCAGTATGGAACCGGAAGCCCAAGGTCACGAACAACTTTATCAATACCCTCATTGTTCTGTACATAAATTTACCTTGCAGTAAAGTGTACTTTTTTGCCCTTTCTCATGGCTTTAAGTTGCAGTGTAGATTTAAGTCTGAAGTTATCAGAAGTGGATAAGAATGCGCATTTTTCATTCATTTAGGCAGCTTATCAGTAAGGCTGAGTGGGTAGTTGAAAAACATTGTAATTTGATTGAGAATTATTTAATGAGAACACATAAAATCAAAAAGTATTAATTATTCAACAACTAAAAATAAAACAATCATAATGATAAAATGTGTGTTTATTAATTTTTATCAAATAATTATCATCATGATTAAAATATTATTAGAACAGAAAAAATTACCCGATTTAAACAATTCACTATATCATATATACGACGAGAATGTGTATTAAATTGATTATTCAACTGATCAGTTGTTTGTAATACTCTGCCCATATCAAATAAACCATATCCTGGTGACCATTGATAATCACGTGAACCACCAGTTTTTTGAAATGTACTCTCAACTAATTCACGATAATTTTGGGTATGTTGTGCATAATTCTGTAAATTAAACATTTATATTAAAAAGAATGATCAATGGAAAAGAATAGTTCCTGATTAAAATAGTAATGAATTTGCAAGTGATGGTTTGATAGTGAGGAGGATTAAGTAAGAGAATTCAAAGCGCTACCGAATTTCGATTGATGATTGAGAACTGGTCAGCCAGTCGATCAGACACAACGTTAGAACCTGACATATATTCATTAGACCAAGAAGTTATTACATTGACGTAGTGGAGTAGTATCAGTAGTAACAAGATCAGAAAGAACAATCGTAAAAAGATACAATTACAGTAGAAAGATACAGGCTCCTGGAATAAAAAATCTTGAAGATAATTAAGAAGCTTAGGAACTAAAGGATGACAAAGAGTAAATGAATCAATAATGTTAGCTAACATCTCGAACCATTAGTTACTATGATCAAGTAGACAACAAACTGATAGTCTGCATCTAATTACACAGCTCAGTTAAACAGAGTAGTGTTATTGGTTAGTAGCTGAAACAGATTTTAAAATAGAAATATTACCCTACAACTATCAGGATACTTACTATCAGTTAGGTAAATAGGCAATTGGAAGGAAAAAGGAAGATAAAGAAAATGAAGAAGCGTTTTTTTCTATAGTTTATATCAACGAAATGACCTTATTTACATAACTTCTAACGACCGAAGAGCATCGGACAGCTGTTTCTTTCTAGTAAAGGACTTCTCAATATTCACACTGAGGGCTAACCTAGAATGTTCAAGTCTCACACTGAATAGTTCATTTTTAAATCATTAGGGTCAACAACAACGTCTATGAAACATGAACTCAAAAATTATTGAAAAAAAATCAAATTTGTATAGTTCATCAAAATAATTACCAATTATTACAAGATAATTTAATTTTTGATCTTATTTTGGTTTTATTTTCCTAATTGTTGTTACTCTTGCTTACTTCAATAGTTTTGTGAGAAATGTAACATTTAGTAGAAATGTTAAGTAAAATTTATTCAAGTCTAATGGAATAAACCAATGGAAATGTTGATGAGATTGTAAGTTCAAAAAATATGTACAAATATATATGTCTCCATAAATTAATATCAATTGAGGCAATAACAACAACAACACAGCCCAGTTTAATTAAGTGTACTTATTTTTAAAATATCTATTTAAGGGGTAGAAATCTAGTCAATTTCAAATGTAAATGAGTTTGGTAGTTTTATTTTATGCAAGTTATGATTCGACGGGTACGTTTTATGGGTATGAGGGCGGATATTACTTCCCTGCTGCCCACAATGTGGAAGGGTTCTGGTTTTAAAAAGGGGCATCAGCCTCATGACTTCCGAAGGGACTCGGCTTTCATCATGAGACGTCATAAATCTTCTAAATGAAGACCTTCTAACTCCCAGAGCAGAGTTTATATGGTTTGAATTATTTTTTCGACGGTAGTTTTAAACAAGTATTGGCCTAGTGACTACATCAGGGCTACATGGATTGATCTAAGTGCCATATATGGAATTAAGGGCAAGATTTACGTTTATTGCATGTTTTATTGTTATTTCAAATGCGAATCGAATCTCGGGCCAATAGGCCGGTTAATTTTTAATGACCACAGTTGTAGCTTTTCAAGTAATATAAAGCAAACTTTTACAAATTATTCTAACTCTTTTGATACCAAGATGAACGTCGCAAATGGATGAATTAGTCGTTTATTAAAATCTGTTCTCAAATACATTATACAATGAAAAGTGAAGCAACCGATATGGCTGACTATAATGGTAGTCTCTGTATTGAGACCAGTGTTAAAGTAACATTTTAACAATGAGAAAGAGAGTAATCCACATAAAACACTCGTAGATTATTATTTAAGTAATCACAAAACTGCTTCGTTAGCAAGATCACCAAGAAAAACTGTAATTTTCAAATTCCAAGTCTGTAAGAGCATATTCAAGTAGGAAATAATTCTCCAAATATCCGCATGATTGAAGAGTAACATTTATATTGAGTTTGTCTCACGTTTCCGGTCAGTTTATAGTTAATAGTTAAAGGTTCAATGTTAGTATCTTATCCAAGCTGTTGTTGAACACTGGATAATTAGAATGTATGAGGAAGTCAGTCACCTGGACAACTGCTCAATCAGTACACTTGCAAATGCTTATACAATAAAATGATGGATATTTTGTTGATTATTATTATTATTATTATTATTATTATTATTATTATTATTATTGTTATGAATATTCGAAATTGTAAGAGCAATAACTAAAATTACTCACAGTTAACGCTGATACTAAATGAGCGACTTCTTTGTTTAATTGTTCCATAACATCTGAATTAATTTGTAAATCAGTTAATAAATCATCTGATTGTTTAAGAATTTCTTTCAATAAACTAGGATTTTGTACAGTAATCATATTTGTATTGGATGATTTCAATCCTAACGATTGAGTTGTTTCACCAAATAATCGCATCCGAACAGAGTATTCATTTGACCAGACAATGAGTTGATTGGATAATTTCTGATAATTTGAGAAACAGACTAATGATTCACCAAATGCTTTGAGTCTGTTAATAGAAAAAAAATTAAAAAAAAAAGAAATTTCAAAGGAATATTACAAAACTGTATTTAATTTTATCTTAATCATAATCAAACAAAAAGATAGTTTTGCGTAACTTGCGATAAATTATGTGCTCCTCATGATAGATCAAGTAATAACAATCGAATGTTCGATCCTATCATTATTTTGCATGAAAAAGAAGCGTTTTCATTGTATAACTTGTAGTTAGACAGATGGACAGTGTTATTTTAGGGCGAATAGCAATCGCAACAAAGATTTAATGCGATGCACAAAGTGAGTATCTCAGTTTGAAGTTTATGGGTCCGTTGTCAGGACCCATTAGGTTTTCGTGGCATGTTTAAATTTGGGCATACGTTGCTAAGTCATTGTAATAATAGTATGAGAGTTTTTTTAAAACTACATGTTGTATGTACGTACGTACGAAGTTCTATGTTGTTGTTGACTGACTTGTTTAAACTACAATTTAGTGGACACTCATTTCAATGACGATGAATGTCTGATAACACTACACACCAATCGCTTCAACAAAACAGAAGTAAATGTAACATTGAATATACATAAGTAATAGACTTTAATAATTAACCAATCAAAAGGTTTATCGTCAATTTATTAAAACTTTGTCATATGCATGAGGATTGATCTTTGTTAAACAAACATTGAAAACTATGACACGATTGGATAGCTAGTTTTCAGTGAATCACAGAAAAAATTTAACAATCACCAGGACTTCTTAATTCCACACACACTAGTAATAAATTAAATTTTGAATAAATTTTTGTTACAAATAAGAGGAAATTATTATTGCTATTATTGATTTTGTTTGTCTCAAAAACGCTAACAGAATTAATCCCAGTCCAAAGTATTTCACGCATCCCTTTTTCTTCAATGATTATGAAATCTATTGTTTGACCAGAAACAATAAGCTTAAAATTGATTATTATAGCTTTGATTGTATTTTTACAAGTTTAACAATATTCAGGTGATTTAGTTTCTCTTCTTTTTCTAGGAGTACTTTTATAAAATGAACAATATTTTGGGGAAAGAAAGACGGCTTCATAACCAAAGTATTGAGTTTTCAAACAAAGGGTTGAAATTTCATTGAAATCATTAACTGGTCAATATTAGACGACCACTGAAACCGTGCAAGCACAGGACGGTTGTTTATTCAAAGTGTAGTGAGTGAAAATCACACAATCCGCTCTAAGTTCTGATTTCCAGGATTACTTAATCTGAGGCTTGCATTTTTGCTGACTGTTATTGACTGCTATACCTATTAAATGTAGGTGCACTTAATGCACTTGCTAGGTTGTCGGGTGACTTCCTCGTTTGTTGTTCTCTTTTCTAGTTCTCTCACTCACGTGCCTCTCCAAATGCTCCCCTAGTAAACAAGGCACCTTCTGGCTAAACGTGAACCGCTACGAAAGTATGGGACTACTTAGCAGTGAGTATACACGACTCCCGAGAGGGAATCGAACTAAGGATCTTTCATCCCAAGTGCAAACACCTAACCTTTTGACTACCGAGTCAGTAGTGTTAATGTCTAACTTAAATCAACCCACAATACTACGCGACCTCCATTGGTCATGGCTTCTCACTAAAACTTCGAGAATTCCTCCACGATGTTAGTCACTAGTGAGAATGTGCTAGGAAGAGACAGTCGTACAGTGCTCCCAAGTTTTCGACGGTGATCTAACACTGATCAGTTCATGATTTCAATCAAATTGAACAATTTCCAAAAGCCTATAGTGAAAATAGGTTGAAGGTTTAAACTACAGAACATCTAATTCTAGTTGAATAACCTCTTGTATAACTGTCTTACATACAAAATGTATGGATTAAACTACATAAACTATTAATTGGTTTACATAAGTTGCGATTCAGAATTTTTTTTAAATATTTTATGACGAACATGTTGACCTATGGTCAACAGGATAAGAGATAATTCAAAAGATATCACTTGTTGTATTGCGAACGTTGGGTTTCTTCAAAGAGGAGTTGCTTTTTCATGCTCATAGTTCATCAATCACGTTTCTATCCCAATAAGAAACAAGATAGAAATTGATTAGGTATGTTTTCCTTGTACCGTTATAACTAACTACATGAACTCCAACTTTGTAGTCTGTAATTTTCCACCCGGCTGATTTCAACAGTCAATAAATTCATGGTCTAATATCATTGTACAGAATAAACAACCACATTTTAGTTTTCTTCCAACTTACTTATACACCATAGCTAGTGCTTATAGAGACATGCAGTGTTTTGGGCATATGTAACATTCATATTTCTCAACCATAGATTTTTTCTAATCTTAATTAAGATAAATTTTCTAATTGAAACATTCCTGTCATTTGTTAGCGTTACACTTAACCTATTTAGTCATAATTAAATTACCGTAGTTGTAATAACTTTGGTGTACGGTCAATATATCACTGTTTCCTGTGGATGGACTGCAGAATCCTTCCTACCTTTTCTTATCCTTTCTATATTACGTTAATTTTCTCTCTCTCCTTTATTTACAATTATCACCTTATGTCTATTTGAACTTTTATTGAAATTGACCTTTTATTAATCTTCATATAAAATACCTTGACATGTGTGACCAGATTGTTTGAAATGTACAGTGCAAAGACATTACATTTTTCAGATCAACTACGTTTTCTCACTGTTTAATCAAAATTCATAAAAGGGACAAATTGTTTTAAATGAGGAAATATGTTGCTTCAGTAATACAAAATGATTTGTGAGCATGTAATTTTATACAATGTAAGAATAACTTTATCGAGTCTTAGAGAACTGTGACTTTTCGGCCCAGTTCATATATCTGTTATGTCTGTTTCTTACATTTGACTTAACATTTAACAATCAAATGTGTACTTTTAGCCGATCAGACTGACCAAGATAAAAGATATGTGGGGGCGGTCATCAGGATTAGATATATTAATCTAGTTTCTTGTAGATGCTAGTGTGAACTGTTTGAATTTGCCCAACTTGCCAAACATAAGAAACTTCCTAAATCTAAAATCCGACTATCAAACAAGCCTAGGCTACACAACGGCAATCGAATTTTTATGAGGAATGTTTAGATCAATCGACGGTTGTCAGTATGCGCATAGAAGATATCCCTTTCATAAAATGGATTTGAAGAAATAAAATTAGAGAAACTATCTAACCAATCAAAACATAATGAGAGCTTCATATCTCATTCACATAATTCGGTGGTTTTCTATTCATTTATCTATCAATCATATTATTCCATACAAACGAACATAAATACATGTACACAATTAAAGCTGAATCTTTCCACCTTTACAACCAATCACAAATCTCAGAAAAAAAATAGATGGTGGGTGGGTGGGTGGTTGTTGAGGCGAGGATGATAGTTACAGTCTAGTGTTTGTCGATTGATACAGGATGTGGATAGAGAGATAATTGTGTATGTATGTTTGTTAAATTTATCGAATGATCAGCTCACCGACCGAATCTAATTTACCGAATCAACTATTGAAACTAATTAAATTCCAGTTGTAGAGGCGATTACAAATATTATTTAGGAAAATTTTGGAAGAACAGTACTAAGTGCTGGAACCCTCAAGGCAAAAGGAAAAGAGGAAGGCCAAGGAACACATTACGCCGAGAAATAGAGAAAGATATGAGAAGAATGAACAAAAATTGGACAGAACTGGAAAGGGAAGCCCAGGAGAGAGTTGGTTGGAGAAAACTGGTGGGCGGCCTATGCTCCATTAGGGTTAACAGGCATAAGTATGTAAGTAAGTAAGTACTAAGTGCCATGGAGTACACAAGTTTGGCAGCAGAAGAAAACAAATATTCACTTACTCTTGTTCAACTTCTTTAGTAGCTTCAGCTAGACGATATTCAGAACAAGCAAGATTTGATTCCAAATAATGATTATCAGTAGAAGGTGATAAATGCATTTTTAAGAGATTTGAATTGTCACATAGATTAGCAGTATTATTAGGCAGCATCTCGTTAAATGTCCCACTGGAGGCCATAAATCTAGTTAACTGTTGACTAAGTGAATCTAGATCTGATCGAACTTGAGGAAGACGTTCAGCTACCGACTAAAATAATAATAACAATAATAATAATGATAATAATAATAATAATAATAATAATAATAAAATAATAAGTAACATTCAACTTTCTTAAAAAAACATTTACAATTTTCGCTTTCATTTTTTATTTTAAATAAACAAATGCTTGAAATTCATTCAATGAATATTGGTTGTTAAATTCGCCAGGAAAGTGAATGGTAATAGTATCACTTTCCTGTGATATCCCGCTTTCTGGAAGGATATACGGTTCCATAAAAAGAAATATATTTAGCAAGAATACAGTATACCCATTCCCATAACCGTGAAATAGATAAACTAAAAAAAACATTACGAAATAATAGCTATCCCAATAATTTTGCCCGGAACATTCTATCAGAATGGAAAAATAGGACAAGTACTAAAATTGTCAGCCAAAAAATATCTGCCAAAAACTTGATTTTAAAAGGGATATAGCGGTTGATGGCTCAACACATAGACTTAAAAGATCCGTTGGAAGAACATTTCATGTTACATGTTGTCTTCCCAACAAGACTAGTACTCACACAACAAATCAAAGATAGGTTACTGATGTGTATCAATTCGAATGCTCCTGTAGAGCTAGTTATATAGTTCCGACTCAAAAGGCAGTATCCCAGTATGCTCGTGAACATGTACCAGCACGGATGGGAAAGGAATGTCAGGAAAATCAATCAGCAGCGTCCTCTTTTCTGACTTAGTAGGTAGTGAACATCATATTAAAATAAATAAAACTTTCTTTGTTTTAAATCCTCTACACATCTGAGGTTATTTTGGTCGACTTCAGTAAACTTAACCTATGTAACCAAGAAGTATATTCAGCCTCTATCTGTGTCATAGTCTATGACAGGATCATCAGAAACCGAAAGTGGATAGTATAGACCTATTATTCTCCTTTCCGTTTCGTTTTGTGTTCATATCTGGATATTCATCTTCATTTATTTACATCAATGCGTTGATTTACTTAATTTCCATGTTTAGCATAATTACTTTAACCACACGGCTCAGGTTACACATAATAATAATAATAATAATAATAATAATAATAATAATAATAATAATAATAATAATAGTTAGTATTATTATCTCCATTGTCGAACCGAAATTTCCTCTATGATACATTTTACCCACATGATTTACTGTAGTATTGATTATCTTACTTTGAATCATTCTGACGTTTTCAGTCAAACAAATAACACAATTACGAAGTATCTCTACCGTTAATAGTAGTAAAAATTCACCATGTTCTAACATATAACACTGTCTAATTCAGTGATAACAATAATATTAGCGCATACATTTTGTTCGAATTATAGATTCATTAAAAAATAATTCTGTGAAGAAAACATTTATACAATAATAATTACATAGAATAAATGTACAATAAAAATCAAATGACTAAACACACACCTTCAAATCACGATGAGCTCTTTCTACCACTGTAACACGTAGACCATCCGGATCAGTTGAACAATTTAAATCATCAATTTGTAATAGACCATGTACACGTACAGCACAACCTAATAGACATAATTCACAATCAGTTAATATTTGATCAGTTTGTTCTAAACGAGCAATCCATGCATCAGCATCAGCTAAACGACAAGCGAATTCATGACCAGTTAATGCTAGTTCACTAGCTGCTCTATGCAAAGCATAAATACTTGTACTCAACAATGTATCTTGTTCATTTAATGATTGTGAATGGGACTGATTTTGAATATGTTCTTCCAATTCTGTACATTGAGCACGAACACGAGCCAAAGCATGAGACCATTCCTATGATAGAATTGTTGCATATTTTTGAAAAAAACAGTATGTTAAAACCTGTTTTACAATAATAATAATAATAATGACGATAATTATTATTGTAAGGAAGGATACTGTAATTGAAAATACACAGTTAGTAGTGGTAAAATCAATCAGAGCTAACACGGTTATCAGACATTGAATACTCATTGAGGTTTTTGCTAAATCTCACGAGAGGAAGTTGTTTGTGCACACTTAGAAGATTTATTCGGAAGCAAATCATTCTACGTCGTCAGTAAGACATGTGAAAATGGGGTAATCTCTGTATGACATTACCGAGTAACTGATATTTGAAACAATGATTGCGACAGAGATGTCGTTAAGTGGTATAATTTTCTTCGGGGTCTGATGGTTCTGAATGTACTAGTAAGTACACACTACAGAAGAGGTTTACACTAACTAGGACGACATGACAGTTCAATGATTTTTTCGGCTAATAAAAAAATGATTCCCGTATAGTGTATAGGAATGGATCAACCAATAAAATTTGAGTTACGCGCCCATCGCTTAGAACTCATCTTATCCCAGATTGATTATTATTCTAACCATTTTTATTTAAACACCAATCAGGAAATTAAGCGTTTTATAGACATAACCACCTCTTGTCATTGATTTGTTTCTTTGTGTTTCTGACACTATTCAGTATGCGTGTGTATTTTCCTTAACTGACCTTACTGTTTTGTGTTTTCGTGCCAGTTGTAGCAATTAACCTTTTAGAAACAAATTAGGATTGTTGACTGCATAAATAGTTACCTGTGTTTGACTACAACCATGTGAACAGAGGACTTATTCGGGGAATTCATTAGCAGGGGAATTAATTTTACAAAGATTACGTCATAAAATAAAATAGGTGAGATAATCAGTGAACACAAGGAGACATGGACAGCTGTTTCATCCTAATATGAAACTGCTCAGAAATATGACCATACGACTTTTATAAGAGTTGTCAGCTTAAATTAAAAAATGAAATACAAATTACTGTTGATTTTTCATTCATGCATGATTTGTGTCTACATGAAAGATTTTGAATCATGAGGTGAATTAAAGTGAATAAGGTAAGGTAAATTTTCGCATAAACAAACAACAGCAGATTTCTTGAAACACAATGCTCGTTAGTATTAAGTAGTATAAAGTATAACCTACAAATTTCTTACAGTAGGTTTTATTCGTAAGAGTTAACAAGTTGAAAGTTCAAGGTCTATTAAACAACAAAAAGGTTTAGTAATAGACGAAAAAGAATACCAAGCTAATTTGAGTTACGCTTAAATGTTAGATTTAGATTAATTGTCAGACAAAATTAATCGTTATATAATCCTTTATTTTAGATCAAGATGATAAATGTGGCCAAAATAACCATATAGCCTTAATCAGTCAGTATTAAATATAGTTCATCATTTTGTCACAGATATAATTTTAGAGTTAACATTATTGTCGTCTGACTTTTTAGGGGTGGACTTTCCACCAGGAGACTTATTTGTTGGCTTAGAATAAGCCGATGACATAGTTCTACTTGGTGAAGACGCCAACAAAATAAAGAGTCTTCCGACTACCCGAAGCATTGCTCGTTTATCTTGAGACTGTCGAGTGAGCAATTATGTTGTTAGGAAACGGGTAATAGATAAGGATGGAAGGTCAATAGATGAAGTATTGGAACTTCATCAGCTGAGGTGGTTGGGATATATGCCTAACCACTGAAGACCTCATCAAAATAGGTTTTACGGTGCAGGTTGGAAGAAAGCTAGAAGCGGCCAAACCAAAACATGGCAGAAATCCATGAAGTCACTGAAAAGTGGGCAGAGTCATGTTGGTAAGTGTAGACTACCTGGTTGGGGTCCGCGAGATGTTAGTAATCGATGGTTAGAGACCTTAAATGACATGGCTCAAAATCGTTTGCAATGTCGCAGGTGCATTTATTATTTTGCTTCTCTCAAGTCCTAATCCTCTGGATTCTATATCAATTCAGAGTTTTTTAAAAGGATTTCAATGCTTAATTCAATACATTCACGGATATATCTACAATATTTCAAACAAATAGTGAAGTAATGAATGTATAATTGAATCATTAGACTTTCAACTAGTTAGTTGTAAGTTTGAGCAACCGACACACACAAAATAGTGTAGTCAAGTAATTCTGAAATTAGCTACTGATACTTATCAGTTCGATTGAATGATAATTATTGCAGTAATCGATCGCGTAAACATGGATAATTAATTGATTTAGAATGTAATACAGTGAATACAATTTTCAAACATTGAAATGTTTTGCAGAAGAGATAGATATTTAGGAACCTCACCTAAATAGACAAATATTTAGAAATCGACTTAACAGAAGTTATTTGTTTTAACAATTTGAGCTTTTAGTATAGGATTACAAAGATTATGGAATGTTATTTAGCTGATTGACGGTTGTAAATACGAACTTCCTAGGAGTTGCATACTAAGATGAAATACTAATCTAGGTACATTCTGGTTTTCATCAGTAGTCTAACTTAAGTGCGCTTATGATTTTATCAGCAACTGGAATTTTTTTTTATTTATTCACATCTAATTAATTAAAATGAATAACAGGGTTTCTTTTTTTGGCATACAAAATATAAAAAGAAGAAATCGACAAGAAAATGAAAAGTACATACAATTCAAAGTATTTCCTTTTATTTAATAATGAACACAAATAATCTCATGATGAAAAATATTTTAAATAAAAATTCTACTTTTTATTTGTATTATTTTTTTTTCTGGAAAAAATTTACATTTACATTATATCACAATTATTTTAACAAACTAAATATTAAATTATGAATTTGTTTATATATAACAAGATACAGGTTAATCCAATTTGTGTAGAAAAATTTAAATTGAATTAGATTTAACATAATTTACAAACCTAAATTAGTATACGCCTAGTATTTGATATATATTTCTTTCTTTATTTATTTTTCTCCACTAAATACCTGTTTACGTTGTCGGCTTTGAGTTACGATATTTTTGAGATGGCTAGTGATATCAAATATTTGACTAGACTTGAGGAGGTGGAGAGAGATTTGAACTGGTTGACCACTGTGCTATTGATGAACGTAATATCTTAGAAGCACTGATTATAATACATAAAGGAACCATTGAACAACTATAATTACAGTATCAACTTTCATCGAGATTTGTTACTACATACATATCTAGTCACCACAACTCGGCCTCAACATCTTTTATGATTGCACATTATGACTAAATTGAACAATAGTTAGAAGTCAGACCAGTCCATGAAAATCATGTTACAAAATGGATGCCACCTGTCTGAGCTCCGTGAGAAGAGCATGATTGATTGAGAGGGGTATTTTTTTTGGCACACAACTGAAAATCAATTGAATCTCTGTGAATGACTTAGTATTTTATCTTCCTCAAATTGTTGAAAATTATGGTATTTCAAAACTTAAGGATATTCTATGACGGATCTTAAAAACATCAACTAAGAAACATACACCTAATAGGCAGTTATTCATCAAAACATAAATAATAATAATAATAAAGCTTCAATTTATATCAATAATTAAAGCTTGGAAAGCAAAAACAGGACTGACCTTATGATCCTTAATACGAACTTCCATATCTATGGATCTGCCTGGTAAAGGTATTGCATTCGACTCTCTAAGACGTTCTGTCAATGCACTCAACACTGTCCTGAGTTCATCAATAATTGTATAAATTTCTGATGAATGAATCAATACACTTTCATTACTAATATTATTGTTATCAGTAGTCGATTGAATATTATTCATTTGTTGAATACAACTATTTTGAAAATCTAGAAAATGTTGTTTAAATTTTGCAACTTCTGTCGACGGTACATTAGCTAGCTGTAATTCTAAACAATAACGTTCAGCATCACGATAGATTATCTGAATAAGAAAAAAAGGAAGAATTTCAACATAGGAAAAAGCATAAACAGACCATCATTGATATAGTAGTTTTGAGGGGAATTTAATCATTTTTACTATTAGATAATGAGGTCAACTGAAAAAAAATGATTAGAAATATGAATAGTTGTGTTTGGAGTATTGTGGAAGTTATAAGCAGAAAATATCAAATTTTGTGAAGAGAATGTAACTGACGCATTATTAATTTGAAGTGAAATGCCATGATTGAAATTTTTTACAACGATATAATGAGCGAATGAAAATGAATCATTAGTAAATACATTTATCAATATATAAAGAACCCAGATTTCTACCGACTTGAATAAGAGTCCTGTCAACAGAGTCAGTGTTATAACAATGGAATTGGTTTATTTTTCTTCCTGCCCTATTACTACTCTTATGAAACTGATCTGGCTGATCACTAGATTGGATACACGAACGGCACACTATACAGAGACTACATTACGTTAAACCAGACACATGAGTTACGACCAAAATAGGGAACCAGAGTAAGCGATAAACGATGTATTAATTCATACAATTGCAAGCAGTGGGTAAGGAGTAAAAACCATTGACAGGGAACGAAACCACAAATTTAATGGTCAGTAGGCGAAGTGCCTGTTCGGCCGCGCTCGACAACTAATCACATTTTACTTGCACAATCATAAATTAGTTGATGAATTTAATTTCAGAACAATAGCTCCCAATCAGTCAATCGCGAATGGTTCACACCTTTTAGTTTCGTGAAATGGATCGGTCATCATCCTAGTTTTTCTTAGAATGTCTACCTGATTCTCAACTTGGTAAACTCACTGTCAAAAGGCTCCTATTTAGAAATTCATCTCGAAATATATCATAACATAAATATTAGATTACAGCTGAATTACTTTTTAATCAATCTGTGCATTAAAGAAATAAGCTAACACAAAATAATGATGAATAAAAATTCAAAAATAAACATCACAGCTGGGTAGATTGTAATAGGTATGGGTATGCGCATGTGAATTTTTCTTATTCAAATAAAGTACAAATTCTTTTAGGTAATAAATAGTTTATAATTTTTGAAAGATAAATGGTTGTTTTATGTAAAAAAGAATTTTGCGTCACACATAATCATGTGGTTCTACCGATAATGGTAATTTCTAAAGAAGCAGCATATAATGAGTGTAAAATACGGGAAACAGGGGAACTAATACATAAATATAATAATAATATGTTATCCATGTGAAGAAACAGTCTTTAATTTTAAAATAATGAAATATATGAGTATCATTATATTCACTGAAAATAAAAGCAAACCACAGAATGCAAATTACTGATATAACTGAAAGTTAGACATTAACACCATTCGATGCCGACTCAGCGATACAGAGGTTAGACGTGTGCGCGCGCGAGACCGAAGGTCTTGGGTCCGAATCCCACGAGCGGGGGTCGTGGATGAGCACTGTTGGTCAGTTCCTAACGGTGGTCTAACAATGATCCATTCATAATTTCAATGGAACTCAACAGTTTTCTCAACTTTATACTGAAAATCATAACTAAATAAACCGGTACAATGATGACGGACTAATCATACTGAATAACATGTCAATAATCATTGACGACGATATTTTCCTTTGTATCTTATAATTAATTAAGTTAATGGTTTGTGGTTTTGAAAATTTATAATTAGTTATGAAGATAATTCTTTGTTTGGAATTTTAAGCGGTCTCAAATTATGCAAAAAAAGAAAATCGTTGTATACCACCGCACTGATTCAACAAAGTAGGCAGAAGTTATTTAATAGGATTGTTCATATCACATATCCTAACGAAATAATTGAAAATTTCAAGTAGAGATACTTCAATACTATTTGACCAACAACCACAAATATTAACATATGAATGAACAATGTTGTTTCAATATGATCCTTATGTTAATTGAATTTACCAATAAATGGTGATATTTTGAATGTGACAGGAAATTGAAATTTTTCAATCGTATTTTATTCACTAAAACATTCAGTGTTGAGAAACAATTTTTACGTATAATGTATTTCATTGTTAATCAATGTTCTATTATCTTGAAATCATGAATGAATCATTGTTAGACCACCATTAGAAACCTGGAAGCACTGAATAAACAATTCGTCCTGGTATGGGACTCCGTACAGTGAGCTCCCAGGTTTCTAATGGTGGTCTAACAATGATTCATTCATGATTTCAAAGTAAAGCAACTATCTTCATGACACTATAATGCTAAATCAAATGTTATATTGATTAGGAGATACTTCAAACCGGACTAAATAGATGATACATCTAATACACAGTGACATTTCAAAAGCACTAATTGTATGTGAGTCGAAAAAGAGGTAACGAAATTTCTAAAAAAAGATTTTATGGTTTAAGAAAAGTGATATGATCGCCAATTGATATGCTTGAATGCTATTACGGGTTCACCTTACTCGGTAAATGGAGCGAAGGTCGACGATACAGTGACACGATAAGCTATTCTAATCTGTTTTTCCCAGCCCCGGCTAACTAGATCAAGAGGTCTTGATAAGGCATGGAGAATGTATTCTGCAAGCACCCAGAAAGTACGAGGTTTCTAAGCACACAAATCAAGCTTATTTATACAATGACAGAGACGCCCTTGGGAAAGCGACGAAAGAGCGTACTGAAAGTAAGCCGTCAACCAATGACAGTCAAAGGGTTTTCGAGTGGGCAATGTGAGCCGTAGGTCGACTAAGCACCTCTTGGCGCGAAAACATAGAAATTCAAAATTTCAAAAATAAATTACAAAATTGGGGCCTTTTCCAAGTGAGTTCTAGAGATCTAACGTCCCCAACAAAAAAAAGACAGTGAAACACATAAAAACTATATTTTTACATTATATGAAATAAGGCAATCAATAAAAATGGATGTAAATTACAACGAGTCCTTTCATTAACAAGAAATACAATGATGCTGAAGTGTGAAAGGTTACCAACAAAAAAGATCCAGTGACTTGAAGTCAAATTAATTTTTAAAAATCATTCAGTTGCACAATTGATAGTTCTGAAACGTCTAATTTACATAATTCTTTATTTCACCCTGTGAAACTGTGTAATTCCAATAAATTTACTTAATTGAGAAAAAAATTACCATTTTATTGAAACAAAAAATATCCTTATTTGAAATGAACATAATCATTTTTTTTTTGAAGGTAGCGTTTATCAATCAACGAATTACTGATAACAAGGACAGCATATCATAACTGATGCTGTCTTCATTTTGGGATTCTACAATGATTTGCACGGAATCAAAGTCATGACTTTTAGGTAGGTTAACATACAGACGCTTTTTTAAAAATTATTTTTTCTCTAAAGTACTTTAAATGATCAGCAGTAAAAAATTTTGTTCGTACACTACATATGTATATGTTTTCAATATGCCCAATTTATTGTGAACATCATCGACTGATTTCAGTTAAACAACTATGGATATCTAGAGAGCATTGGACAGATGTGTATCGCTAATATAGGACTCTTTAGCGGTGCATATTCATGACCTTAAAATAGGATCGAACACGGAACCCTCAAATCTCATGGTGAGCGCTGCACCTTAAGATCAATGAGCCGTAATCGAGTGGTGTACGTATCTAATTTCAATTAATTAATTGACCATATTGTGCAAATGTCTTCCAATGTAGATGGTGGGTAGTTGCCGGTTCAATTCCATTAGTTGTAGCTTCTCATTAAAACTCCAGGAAACACGAAAATTACTCACTAGTAAAGGCAAGATGATTGTTGCCACATATGGGCTTTGTAGAAATTGGTTCTAATTCGAAAAAATGAGCTAGCAACAGGTAAAAGTGAAGTATTTTTTTCTGCTATTGATAATTATTAATTCTACTTAAGACTAATATACACACACATAGCATTGGCCTAATTTTGCCATGGAAAAAAACTTTGAGCAATGAAACAAATTAAGTGGATACAAAATTTTCTCGTGAATTGAAAAAAATGGATGTAAATGATTAATTACTTTTTCGCTTACCAACCAACATGATAAAAGTACTTTACGTTTTGTAAAACAGACTTATAATCAGAATACACAAGCAAACATTTACCATACAGTTCTTCTCCATTGATCAATTTAAACATCGATCAATGTTACAACCAAACCCACCCACTAATCAAATAGGCATTTCAATAATCGAAAATGATGGGAAAGCAATTCGATCAAACTCCTTTTTTTCAATTTACTCAGTGATATAATAACGAATATAAAACAGAGACCATGATAGGCAAAAAAACCAATCCGATCAAATTATACTTAGGTAAATGGTGCTAATAATTATTGGAAGAACTAATAACGCCCACCAATGTTAGGTGGTTGGAGGGAGTAGGTAGGAATACAGATTTCATACTAGTAGGTATTCGTCAGTAAAAAGTACTTGGAATTTTAGGGGGAACTGATACTCCCTACGAAATTCGAACCTCAGTCAACCAGTTTCACATAATGAAACGTGATCATTGTGCCATTCAAGCAGCGGCTGACCTCCTATAGAAGTGAGATATTCGCATATATTCATCGGTGAGTGATGATCATGTTTGCCTAACTCAGGGTCAATAGGTAAACATCAAGAGGATCGGCATATTTCGAATCGAGTGATAGTGGTGGGGGATCAATGAGACGCAGTGATCCGACATCCCAATCCATTGTGGTACGAGTCTCGTTACTCAAGGCAATAGGATTCGGCAATTGATAAATGGTCTTTAACAGCTGGGGACCATGATAGAACTCAGTGTAGATCGAGATTGAAAGTTAATTGTTAGGGGTACTGGTGTGATCCTCTCATAAGCGCGCACACGAGATGGACACCTTTAGAATTACACAAAATGTTAAGTTTATTTGTAATAAGTACCTACAGTATAAGGCCCGTGAATGCTTCGTCTCATGCTCAGCCAAACGATACGATCTAACGCGGAGTAGGGGGAACGGAAAGAGATCACAGAGATT